TGAAACTAAACAAAAACATTAAAGAAAAATCAAGAAATTAACACATTAGTGGAATTCAACCTACATTCATACTCAAGTGTGATGACTAACAACTTTATTTTAATGATTCACAGTACTCGGCATTTAACCTAACATGTATCTGCACATATAAGAGAATTCAGAAAGAAATAATTTTAAAAAAATAAAAAATGCTTACCTATAAGTATTCAAGAGTATTAAAATTTTAATAGAATAAAGGAGCAAACCTGAGAAATTAAAGGAGAAGAAAGGGGCAATATAGTTTAGGAGAACAAATATGGACTAAGAACGAAAAATTAAATTAAATAAAATTGGACTAAAATAAGAAGTACCATAATCTTCACTTATATCAAACTGAAAATTATATTCATTCGTCATTCTTCTAAAATCTCAATTAAATGCAAAATTTTCCTGCAACAAAAAATTCCGAAAGTACAAATACATAAGGGGAAATACCAATTATCACTTGTTTTGTGTAGGAATAGAGTGTAGTCTCACCTCTATGATCATGTACCAAGTTTGGAATGGCAAGTTCATATTGTAACTTTTTGCACATTAATGACCAATGGTCTTTTAATTTATTTTTTAAAAGGGAAATTGAAGAGAGAAATACAATGCTTCCCAATTCTTTTTGAAGACACAGGCAAATAAAATACTTAAATAAAAAAAAAAAGTTCATCAAAAAAGTATATCCAAACATAAAATTGAGTAATAACATGCTAATTAGCTGAAATTTTTCATCAAATCGTGAAACTTTAAATTCAAACTCATGCAAAATGGAAAAGAAAAATAATTTATCTATAGAAACACATGAAGAAACTTCAATGTGACAATTCAAATATAGAAAATATGTGAATAATAATGATTGAAGAGGAAGATTACCAAGTGAGAGGAGAGGATGAAAGAAGACGATGAAGAGAAATCACCATTACGTGTGGAAAAGGAAGAGCAATACACGTGTGTTTAATAGTACAACTTTATAGTACACATTTCTTAGCTTGTTGTACAATTTGTATTGTTGTGTAATAGTATAACTTTATAGTACACATTTCTAGTTAGCTTGTTATACAATTTTTATTGCTGTGTTAGACACATTTCTTAACTTGTTGTACAATTTTTATTGCTGTGTTAGTCCCCTCAACTCCCACTTCTATATAGGAGTAAAGTAGTAAATAACATGAAATATTTCACATTACCCCATACCATATCTATACCGAAAGAATCATGTAAATTAAGCAACAAATGGAACAACACCGTGATTTGCATGTAATATGAACCGTAAAAGAAATTTGACGGAAAGCTCTAGTAGGATGGAGTTCACAATATTAATAGGCAAATTCGGGATATTTGAGCGGTAACCTATTAGATAACAGGGGAATACAATTCGTTTTTTTATCACCACAAAAAAAAACTTCAAGTTATTTGAAGCTTAGACGTGTGTTTGAACTTTGCAATTATAATGGCTATTAAAAAAAATCAAACGTTTTACTTTGAAAGACTATAATTTAATCTTTTTCAATTGAAAGAAAATTGTCAGCATAAAGATGGGCCATTGTTCATAATTTTATAATATCATGTTGTAATATTGATGAAGTAAAATATGCATAACTGAGGAATGGAAAATACAAATGTATTTTTGGTAAACAAGCTCATAATATAATTTGGAATACTTAATATTTTTGGTAAACAAGCTCATAATTTAATTGTAGAGTCCAACTTACCTTCTACTACTTGGAGTAGAATTAGCGTTGAATTAGGTTTGTTTAAATTGTACTATTATATAGCGTAGAAACAAAAAAATACCTATCACCAACATGGATGGCCTCCCCCATTTGCCTGGAGATATTGTCAACTCCATCTTCTTTAAGCTTCCTGTGAAATCTCTTACACGATTCAAAAGTTGTTGCAAATCATGGTATGGTTGTATCGATGACGCCGACTTCATCAAGTCACATCTACATAAATCGTCTATCGATATTAGTCGTAAAAAAATTGTCTTGGTTAATTCAATCCTTCAACATAGAGAAGGAACACGCAAATTTAAAATTGTGTCAACGGAAGCATCAATTAATGCTGATTCAAAAGTTGTGTATCTGAATATCCCAGAATACTTTAGTGACTATTTTTCATTACAAGTGTTTTCATGCAGTGGCTTGATCTTTATGACGTCATACGATCTTGGCTATTGTATGACATTATTCAATCCTGTGGTGGGAAACAGCCGACATTACATGTATTGGTTGATGGCATCTGTGTTTTCACAACGGTTGGCGAGAAAAATTTGATTTGATCGCTGGAGAAAGATAGGTGGAATTGTATCTAACAAGTTTCCTACTTTACTCACACGCATTGGAATGCCTATATTATATTTACCGATTAGAGGTATTAAATACCGCCCAGCAGGTGCTTTCCTATTTGTTAAGGAGAATGGGAACATACTATGGAGAAAGCATAATGGTTTTTTATTGAGTATGATCTGTGGAAAAATGAATATACTGAGTTTAAGTCTATACAAGTTCCGCCTTTTGTGGCAAATAAGGCTTTGTACCGGGAAAGTTTAGTTTCTTTGAAGATTTCGTGGGATTGACTAGGTAGCAATTTCTAGTAGTATTAATAGAAGAATATTATATATTGTCATTGTTTCTGTTTGATTTGTGGATAATGGTATATATATAGTAGCAAGCAAGATTTGAATGTAAAAATATGATGTTGAATTTCTACCCTGATTTTGTCTGACTATCACCGTAACTTGTTTTTAAGACGACTCTTATATATAGGCTATAGCGAATCCGTACTGGGGTGATCAATGTAAAAGTGTCACCTAATAATGAATCCACTAATTTCTTCTGTTACCTTTCAGCTTAGAATCCACAGAGATATTATATAATGAGTTTTACCTTTTCCTTCCATTGAAAATCAACAAATTTGCAAAAGGGTGTGACCTGATCTCCTTGTTTTAATCTGTCAACAAGAGTAGTTCGTTAAGTAATGATGTGAAAGTCTAATGGGGAGCTGGATAGCCAATACTTACCGCAACTCACTCTATGATGAGTTGATGTATTTTCAAGTTCTTGTGTCATTTTTCATTTCATTACTTTTTCTCCTTCCACGATCAATAATTCATAGACCATGCCTTTATTTATGTTATCTTATTATCTGCTTATTTCATTTTAGTATAGGAATATGTCACCACAACAATCTGATCAAGTAGGATATGACATTTATTCACTAGATATTAATTGGGTGGGGCTGACACAAACCAAAATCAGATTTTGGATGAGATGATCACCATCAGATACATATATATATATAAAGAGATGATATTCAGGCTCACTTATGAAGTGGCAAATGTTATCTTCTATTCTTGAAGGATGGAAGAATAAGAGACTCAAGATAAAAATAGTGTTCAATAGGAACAAACTATTCCAAATTGTACAGAATTTTTGTGAAATGTTAACTCACTTTAGTATTCTCTCTTTTTATCTGTATTGTAAGTTACAGAGGTTCCCTTTAATCTAGTTTTTCATCTAGGAAGTGGCAAAAGAGAGGAAAATCCTCTGCTTATTTTTTAGGCATGTTACTGCTGCAATGGTATAGCAGCAAACTTATCTGTTGATTTACTTATCTTGGAAACTAAACTTTCCACATACAAGGCCTTACTTGAAATAAAGTCCCCAACTTTTAAATTCATTTTTCCGCACTTCATACTCAATAAAAGAACCCCCCATAATATGTTTCCATTCTCTTTAACACATATGAAGAAGTTACCTACTGATGACCAATCATGCATTCCAATGAGTGAGAGTAAAGTAGGGAACTTGTTGATGTAATTCCACCTATCTTTCTCGAGCGACCAAATCAAAATTTCCTCGCTAACAGTTGCCAAAACACAGACACGATCACCCAATGCTTATAATGCCTATGAGCTTTAACCCTCTTCCCCTTCCTCTCTTATGGAGAATTCTACGAGGTGATTTTCATAAGTGAAAATCATCCTTTGCCCACACAAGAGTTTCATAATCACGAAATAGTACAAGATCAGAGCTCTGAATTCCTTGCTTTTAAATCAGTTGTATGAAAGCTTTAAAAGGTTAAAGTTTTGTGAATTTATGTTATCATGTTAATATGTAAATCGTGATCCTAAATTATGCTTCCGCTGCATATATATATATATATATATTCTATACTCTAACAGCAACATCCACGGTGGGTCTTCTTTTCCTTGTTTTGAAATCCCAAGAAAGTAACTCATTTTATTCACTAAACAGCTTACAAAAGTGTCATACAAGATTCAATCTTCATTTCAGTACCATCTCTCCTTTTGTTCTCTATCTAAAGTTCATCAGAACTTTAAAATTTGTCTTTGGCACAAGTATTGTTTTTGTTTACAAGTTAAACTACTTGATTTTGAAGAAGCCTAATGCAGATATTCTTGTTAATAGGCACTCTAGTTGTTAATGAAGTTGGTGCAAATTTCGGAGATCAAGGTTCAAATCCTAGCAGAAATAATATTCGCGGGTACTTGTGTTGATGGGGAGGTAGACGGTAGTAGTTACCTAATAGAATAGTCATGTAAGCTGGTTCGGACTCGGACACCACTGTTATCCCAAAAAAAGAAGATGGATTTTTTATGTACATCATCCCTTTGGAGTTGGACTTGGTGATAACAAGTTTCAGTAACAGTTGATCACCTCCCTCATAGTTTTGTTTAACAAGACTTCATTTCGTCATTGCATCCATTCTAGTTTACATTCACCACAACTCATCAAATTTCCAAACTCCAATTTTCTTTGCATTATTGATTATTGTTAGACTTAGTGGTATAACTGTGTATAAAACGCTGTAGCAGTTTTGGGGAGGGAGGGGTGATTACGATAGGCTTAGGAACAATATTTGAGTTGAACATAAAGTATTTGAAGTTCAAATAGAAATAATTTGTAGATGAAAACCTGTATTAAGACTTGGAATTTGCCATTACAGTTTCACGCAACTAACTGAAAAATGATGAAAAGATCAAAGTTGTGAACCGAAAATACTAAAGTAAGTGTAGCTGCAACTAAATTCTCCTACAGATAGCAGTGGAGAGACATACACATGAACAAGAAATGTAAGAAGTTGATGTAACTAACAGAGGGAGTTTCTTGATGAACCTCAGAAACAGAGCATTCTTCTTCTTCTTTTGCAGAGGGAGTTTCTTGATGAACCTCAGAAACAGAGCATTCTTCTTCTTTTGCAGAGGGAGTTTCTTGATGAACCTCAGAAGGTGAAACTAACAGAGGGAGTTTCTTGATGAACCATAAAATCAGAGCATTCTTTTCTGCAGCAGGCAGTCACATTTGCGAGTTACTAACAGAATGAACCACAGAAACAGAGCATTCTTCTTCAATTGCAGCAGGCAATTGGGATTCTTTTATGTCATCAGATGGAATTAGACCCAAATCTTGATTTTCTTGAGCGAAGGATTTCACAGTTCCTTGACATTGTGACGAAGAACTGACAAGATAATTGGCCTTCCTCCTAATGCGACACATAACCAATTCGTCATGAGCTGTAAATTCACTAGTTCGTTTCAAGTCGTTTCGTTTACTTTCAGTAAGGCTATATTCTTTCATAGTCCAGACATGATTGTCTTCATCTAAGCGGAATCTTTTCTTAATGCCAATCTGTGATCCTTCCCTATCATAAACTTCTTTAGCTCCGCCAAATTCTCTCCATAAGCCGCCTCCAATTGCCCTGCTGAAGTACTTACCATTCTCTTTCTTTTTCTTTAACAGAGTGAGGACATAAAAATCAGTAGCATCATTCGTCCCGAATGACTCAGATAGCTTCTCATCGCCATACAAGTCTGTAAATCCAATTTCTAGGTCGTCATAACGCTGAAGTGTAAAAGATTTGACAAGAAACTCCATGAGTTGTTCATCAGTAAAATTCGTCCTCATTTTTATCCAAAAGAAAAGAAACAGAGTGTTTTTATTTTTTTGTTGAGGAAAAGAAAGAAGAAGATGAATAAATACTCCACCTTGCTATTTATATATCGAGACTTTTTTTATTTGTTGATTGGAATTTTTTTATGTGCTTTTACCAATTCACACGTACGTAATATATAATTACACTAAAATAATTTTATACTTTTATGGGAAAATGCATAAGTATCTCCTAGCCTATGCCAAAAATCTCTGAGACACACCTAATCTTTACTAAGGTCCTATTATCTCCGAACTTATTTTATATATAATTTTCTACCCCTTTTTGGCCTACGTGGCACTATCTTGTGGGCGCAGCGCGTGTTGACAATTTTTTTAAGGATAGTGTCATGTAGGCCCAAAAGGGGTAGAAAATTATATATAAAATAAGTTCGGAGGTAATAGGATCTTAGTAAAAGTTAGGTGTGTCTCAGAAATTTTGGGCATAGGCTGGGGGTACTTATGCAATTTCCCTACTTTTATTGTTTTAAAGTACAGTAAGTAAAATTTAAGTAATTATTTTAATGCTTCAAATAATGGTTTAATAATTTGACTATTATAATCCTATTTTTAGTTGTCATGATGCGTTTTTTAAACGTTAATTTGATTATTTTCAAAATTAAATTAGATTTCATTAATTTGATATTTTAAACTAAAAATTTAGATTTAAACAATTATACGAAAACTACATTAATTGCAACTTTTTTTGCATGACAATATGATGAAAAAATACATCGTAAATATTAATCAAAGTTCTTATCGTTTAACTCTGAAAAAACGAAACCATCACAACTAAAAAGGTATGGAAGGAGTAATGAACAAAGTTTGAGTGAGATTCTACGTCAAATAAACTCAATATATGCTTTGTATAATATTTAGAGTTGGCTGTGAACTAAACCCTTCGTAGTTATGTGATTTTAGAAGATGGCTAATGATGAAGACATTTTTTTAGGACTAACCAATTTACTTTATTTTACGAAAGGAGAAAAATGTTACTCTTAGCTTCTCAAAAGATAGATCAAACAGTCTATTAAACTCGTTATATATACAATCGAACACCTTCACAATATAAGACTGGGAGAATATGTATAACATATATGTATCTGATACAAAATGTTCTCTTATTGGTCAAAACATCATAACACTATTAGTGTTGAGTTGAGCTGAAATTAGTTTTGAGTCTTTTTGTTCTTGAGTTATAACCTACTTGTTTTTATACAAATTTTGTAATTGATGATCAGAGTACTGTGTTACAGTTAGTCCCTTAGATTATGTAGTTGTAATCTAAAGGCCACTTGAGTTTAGTGGAGTTTGTTCTTTAGGCAAATTCTATGAGGAAAGGTTGTGGATTTTTACTCCATTGAACAAAGAGTTTTTCACGGTAACATTAAGTTTTGGTGACTGTACCCTGTCTATCAACAGATGGTGATGCGACCAAATCCTGACGATAACTATGACTTGTTGCGTAGAAATTCACCATCACATTTTACATAAAAATTGATCCACATCAAATTCAAATCTTACTCCTATATACCATTATATATTCACAAATTAATTAAAGAAAAGGACAACACAAATTATATAAGCTACTTCAACAGAAACAATAGCAATGTTCTTCAATTAATACTAGAAACTGCTACCTAATAAACACATATTTGGAAAACTATATATCATTATGTTGGAATTTGTTAATCCCACGGAATCTTCAAGGAAACTAAACTTTCCACATACAAAGCCTTCTTTGCAATAAAGTCCCCAACTTGTGTCACCTTAAATTCAGTATATTCATTTTTCCGTACGTCATACTCAATAAAAGGACCCTCGAGCTTTCTCCATAATATGTTCCCATTGTCCTTAACACACATGAAGTTACCTGCGAATGACTAGGCTTTCCAATAAGTGAAACTAAAGTAGGGAACTTGTTGATACAATTCCAGACAGTTTTACTATCTTTCTCCGGCGACCAAATCAAAATTTCCTCACCAACAGTTGCCAGAACACAGACGCGATCACCCAATGCATATAATGTCGGTTTTATCCCACATGTACTTGGCACTGGCGTTACAATAAATTTTTCGTCTGCTAGATGGAAAGATATAATCATGTGTATTGTCCAGTTATATGCTATTCTGTGAATAACACCGTTTAATGAAACTTGATCATGGTATATGTGCGGTGGCAAAGGATCAGAGGGACCAGGAAAAATATTGTGAATTGTTCTCCAACATTGATTTTTAACCAAGTATACTTCAACAAAGTAACGTGGATGTCTTAGACTATCGTTTTTCAAGTACAGATGTACACATAAAACTTTGTAATCTTCGGCCACAAAATCATAGGCAAAACCAAATACTGGAGATGTCGAAAAAGGATTAAAATACTTTTGACTGAGAAGAGAATTTGGAATGAGTTTGTAATATTTTCCAACTGCAGGATTCCATAATGTCATATTATAGCCAGGATCGTATGCCATCATAAACACCAAGCCACTGCATGAAAGCACTTCAATATATTTATAGTTACTACTGTCAATTTTCAGCTGAATGCCTCTCAAAGTGAGAGTCTTTCCATTATATAGAGAAAATAAAGATTACACATCCCTAAAGATCCGCCATTCCTATCCCTAAAGATCAGCTATTCTATCTATACAAATCTGTCATTGAATCCCTCTAAATCTGCCTTGCTATCCCTCCAAATCAGCTATTCTATCACAATATTTATTCACATGATTCTACAACAAATGTATATGATCATGCTAATTTATATCACTATATAATTACATTAATATATACAATCATTTAGTTGTCTATCATGCTAACACCCCCCCTCAAATTGATGCTGGTGGATCAAGAAGCATCAATTTGCCTACTAGAAACTGATGGCGTTGCCGTGCCATGGATTTTGTAAACGCATCAGCTATTTGAAGATCACTGGACACATGTGGAAGAGTAATGACACCTTTATCTACAGCTTCTCGTATATAATGACAATCCACTTCGATATGTTTGGTTCTCTCATGAAAAACTGGATTAGTAGCAATCTGAATAGCACTTGTATTGTCAGCGTGGAGAGGAGTAGGATGAGATTGGGGAAATCCAATCTCAGCAAGTAATCCACGAAGCCATACAACCTCAGAGCAAGCAGTAGACATGGATCGATATTCAGCCTCTGTTGAAGATTTTGACACACGATCTTGCTTTTTACTCTTCCAAGATATCAATGACTCTCCAAGAAACATGCACCAACCAGAGACTGAACGACGAGTATCAGGACATCCCGCCCAATCAGAATCACTAAAAGCATTAAGACGAATAGGAGAACCACTTGGAAAGAATAATCCACGAGTAGATGTTCCTAGAAGGTACCGAATGATGCGACGAACAGCCACCAAGTGGAGATGACGGGGAGCTTGCATAAATTGACTAACTTGTTGAACTGCAAAAGAGATATCAGGCCGAGTAATAGTAAGGTAATTTAGACTCCCAACTAATTGTCGAAATATAGTTGGATCAGGAAGAAGATCTCCTTCCTCACGACGATACTTGACATTCATTTCCAGTGGAGTATCTACGGAGGAGGAAACTTGAAGACCAGCCAAAGAAATCAGATCCTGAGTATATTTGTGTTGGTTTAGAAATACACCTGAAGCAGCATTATGAACTTCCAAACCCAAAAAATAAGTAAGAGTACCAAGATCTTTCATATGAAAAGAATCTTTAAGCTGCTGTTGGAGGCAAGTGATTAGTGAAGAATCAGTTCCTGTGATAATAATGTCATCTACATACACCAAAAGAAGAACACAACCTGTAGATGTTTTCCGAAGAAACAAAGATGAGTCATATTTGCTCTGCTCAAAAGAAAATTGTAGCAAAGTAGACCGGAACTTATCAAACCAAGCTCTAGGAGCTTGTTTTAATCCATACAAAGACCGCTTCAACTTGCATACATCTGATGTAGGCGATGAGAACAAACCAGGTGGAGGTTTCATATAAATATCTTTTTTAAGATCACCATGGAGAAAAGCATTTTTGACATCCATTTGATAAAGAGACCAGTTTTGTGAAGCAGCAATGGCAATAATAGTTCGTACCGTAGTCATTTTGGCTACGGGTGCAAAAGTCTCCTCATAGTCCACCCCATACTCTTGTCTGTTACCAAGAACAACCAATCGAGCTTTGTACCGATCAAGAGTTCCATCAGAATGAAGTTTGATTGAATAAACCCACTTACATCCAATAGGGCGGACATTTGAAGGACATGAAACAATGTCCCATGTGTCATTTTCTTTAAGAGCCAAAAGTTCTTCCTCCATTGCTTTCTGCCAACATTCATGCTTGGAAGCTAGTGAGTAACAAGATGGAACAGATATGTTGGATAAAGTAGAGGAAAATCCATACCAATTGGGAGTACGAAATACTCTTGTAGATCGCCGAGTAGGCTCAAGAGGACCAGATCTTGAAGAATTCTCAGATTCTAGTTGTGGTGCAGTTTCAGGCGGCGGATCAGTGTCGGGATAGGGTAAAGTTGGCCGACGTCGTTCATACACAAATCCAGGTTTGAACCTCTTAAAAGAAGATGATAAATCCTCAAAAGTAGGAAGAAGAGGAGAAACAGAAGATGAATCTACAATCGTAGGAAAGAAATACTGATTCTCAAAGAAAACAACATTTCTAGAAATACGAAATTTGTGAGAACATGGATCATAACAAATAAAACCTTTTTGTGAAGTACTATAACCCATAAAAGCACATTTAGTAGATTGTACAGAAAGTTTATTGCGTTGCGAAGGAGGCAAATGCACAAAACAAACACAACCAAATGTATGAAAATCACTATAGTTAGGATTTTGGTGATAAAGATGAAAATATGGAGACTCAAGATTTAGCACTTTAGATGGCAATCTATTAATTAAATAGACAGCAGTAGACAAAGCTTCCACCCAATATTTAGATGGTACAAATGACTCAATCAATAAAGTACGAGTGACATCTAAAAGATGCCGATTTTTTCGTTCAGCAACTCCATTTTGTTGTGGTGTATATGGGCAAGAGTGTTGTGAGACAATTCCTTTGTCAAGCAAGAATTTTTTGAATTCATAAGACATATATTCTCCACCAGAATCAGATCTTAATAATTTGATGCATGTAGAAAATTGAGTCTCAATGTAAGCCAAAAATGTCTTGAACATGGAAAATACCTCAGATTTGGATCGAAGAAAATACACCCATGTAAACCGACTATAATCATCTATGAATGTCACAAAGTATTTGAAATGAGCATGAGAAATAATTGGTGAAATGCCCCAAACATCACTATGAATGACATCAAAACACTTAGTAGCACGACTACCAAAATTAGGAAAAGGAAGAGTTTTACTTTTGCCTAATTTACAAGTAGAACAATCAATGGAAGCAACTGAAAATTTATTTTTATTTCCCAATAAACCAGAATTTGATAAATGAGACAACACAACAGAATTTGGATGTCCTAGATGCTTATGCCAAACCTCAGTTTTACTAGCAGTAGAAGTACAAGCAAAAGATAGAACAGGAGGAATGGAAAAATGTATAGGAAACAATCGTCCAACTTTAGGCCCCTTCGCGATTATCGTCCCCGACACCTGATCCTGCACAAGACAACCATTACGAGAAAAATTCACATCACAATTGTTATCTACCAATTGTCCAACTGAAATAAGACTAGTTGAGAGCTTTGGTGAAACAAAAACATTCTTGAAAGTTGGAGTAATGTCCCCAACCTTGGTAATGGGTAAATTACTACCATTGGCAATCTGTATTTGTGATGGACCTTGATACTTACGAACATTTTTTAGGATGCTCGTTGAGTTGGTCATATGATTGGAAGCGCCTGAATCAACAATCCAAAAATTAGATGTAACATCATTACCTTGTAATCCCAATGCTGAAAAGGCTGACACGATCATTTGTTGTACCATTTCAGGAGTAAGAACTTGTCCTGAAGATGAGTTATCATCAGTGGAACCATTTATCCTAGCTTGAAAAGCATTGATCCTACGATTTTGAGGGCGCGTGGGACACTCTTTGATAATGTGTCCTTGTTGTTTACAATAATTACAGAACTTCTTGCTACAATTGCTAGCAATATGACCATATTCCTTGCAACTGTAGCATTGAGTTCTACTCATATCCATGCCCTTACCTTTACCTTGAGCAGCAAATGCAACAGTGACATCATTTTCTTTCTTAAAAGCATTTTGTGTGACAAGACGTTGTTCTTCACGAAGTAATTCCCTAAAGCAAACATCCAAAGAGGGAGATGGGTCACGATTCATCAAGTTGGAGCGAACACTCTCAAAGTCGGAGCATAATTTCATCAAAAATTGGTCTCGCTTGCTTTGCTCATGAACTGCCTGAATCACTGATAGGGATTCAGTAGGTATTTTAGCATAGACAATATCTGTAAATTCAGCCCATAAGTTTTGAAATCCAGAAAAATAATCCTGAACAGAAAGACCTCCTTGAGAGTAATTAGCAATTTCATACTCCAACTGAAAGCATCTTGCACTATTATCTTGGTTGTAAACCTTTTGTAAGTAATCCCACATGGCCTTAGCTGTCTTGTACGGCCTGAGATTAAGAACAATAAGAGGGTCAATTGACCCTAGAATCCATGTCATCACCCGAGCATCTTTAATCTTCCATTCACCTAGCTTTGTTGCATCAGTAGGAGCAGGATCGCTTCCATCTATATGGCCCCATAGTTCTTTGTCGGTGACAAACAATTGAAATTGAAACTCCCAAGAAGAATAATTTTTACCAGTGAAACGAACACTGAAGGATTCAAAGTGATGTGAATTCATGCTTTTGAATAGCTATAAAACTACAAAGACTCAAGAAAGCAACTAGAATGACCAAGAACAAAATTCCCAGGAGGAAGCCAAAAACCAAGATTTTCAAAAAAATTTAAAAGGAACCACAGATGACTCTATGAAACAAGACAGCCAAGAGAAGGCTCTAATACCATGTCAATTTTCAGCTGAATGCCTCTCAAAGTGAGAGTCTTTCCATTATATAGAGAAAATAAAGATTACACATCCCTAAAGATCCGCCATTCCTATCCCTAAAGATCAGCTATTCTATCTATACAAATCTGTCATTGAATCCCTCTAAATCTGCCTTGCTATCCCTCCAAATCAGCTATTCTATCACAATATTTATTCACATGATTCTACAACAAATGTATATGATCATGCTAATTTATATCACTATATAATTACATTAATATATACAATCATTTAGTTGTCTATCATGCTAACAACTACAGAATCCGGGGATATTGGGTTCGTCCAGGTACACAAATTTTGAATCACCACTAATTGATGCTTCTATTGACACAATTTTATATTGCCGTGTTTCTCCTTGAGGATTAACATTAAGGAAGACAAATTTTTGACGACTAGTATCGACAGATGATTTATGTAGATGGAACTTG